ACAATATAAAATACAGTGTCACGGTAATACGAGAAAGTGAAAATTTAAGTACAATTGCTTTTGTTGCTTCTGCTCTTTGTTTGAACTTAATATAGGTTTCATCATCTCGGAGAGATGAACTACTTCATCTCTGTTCATGACCTTTGATCTTTTCTGGATTAACAGTGTCTTTGGCCTCCAAGCTCTCTATGTAGTTGCTCATTGCTTTTAAAATAGTTGACATTATGTCCAACGGAAGTCTGTTGAAGAGCCGCTGCCGAGGTTATTCTCAAGCGTCGCATTGCATCGGTAGTTGAGTTCGTGACAGTTGCTGCTTTGTTGTGTTTTATCCTCCTTGTTCGTAGCGGTTTGCTGGTTTGACGAATGTGTGACAGCGAATTTATGTGGTAAACTATATTTTATATAACTATACTTTATATAGTTACTTTGTCGAAAGTCGAATTTGGACACCGTCCAGGTGTTCTTCTTTCCCAGCACACGTCTGGTCGATTCTTAAATGATGGGAATATAAGGAATGTCACCGGTTGATAGAAGGTAGACCAGAACTTCTTTCAGCAACCCCTTTTCCCATTCTGTCAATCCCCTATTAAATTAGTTCACAACTCATTTTTCTTTTCACATCACCTATTATCTCGGATTGACTGTGGTAACAGCTTGAGTTTTTCGCTGGCTCTCTTGTTCCTTCGTTCTGCTCCTCCGCCTCCTCTGTACCAGTCTTGCGTATGAAATTTGCATGCCTTGAAAATCGATTGCCTCATAAATTTGTTCTATTTTTGCTGCTGTAAGGAGTAAACAACATCCTGGCATTGTGAAAACTCTGTGTATCATATTTTTTGCGGTTGAGAAGGGCAAAAAACATCAGTCCAAATATTGGTCCTGCATCAAGACCTTTGTGCCGGGTGGGAATCATATGTTGCCTTCCAAGGTCTCAGGTACTTACGTGCAATACGTAACCCTCTAGAGGAAGAGTCATCTCAGCTCCTGGCATCTTGCACAACCGCCGAGACACATTTATGACGCTATGGCTAGGCAGGCGTACCCTATTCTCGAAGACTGCTTTATTGATCTGTTCGTTATCTAATATCGATATCGGTGATCGGTGACCAGGCACCACCAATCAGCGGCGATGCAGCACTAAAATACGTTCATACCGTTACGTCCCAATTCATAAACGCTGTAGAGAGGCATATTTTTTTCCCAGGGATTATGGTGATGAAAATCATGAAAATTATCATGATGTTTTTGCTGGTAGCGATGAGGAAGTGGAAGAAGAGGATAATGGCAATAGTGATAATGAGGCGAAAGATGAAGACGACAAGACCAAAGAATAACAAGGAGTTATGAATTGAAAAAATTTCTGAAAAAAATGAGCATTTCCATACGTGAGATGTTTGCATGCAGTTTTTTCTAAAATTAGTTTGCTCTATCTGTCATTTATTACTTTTCGATTTCACTTTTCATAGGTACCTGTGTCTTTGCATAGCACCGTTCTGCGTGCGGGTGTTCATCGAGCACTGATGTGGCTCCTAGTGGCTGACAAAAAGGAAAATTTGAAAACTGAGTAATGTGTTCGTGCATTGGGTATTGGTTTTCATACCTGAAACTGAGAAATGCGTTTTAAAATCAGGTTGTTTACACAAACCGTAAGCAAATAACTTGGTCGATCGTTTGATAGGCCGGTACCGACGTTTCAGCTCGTCTTTCAGAAGCCTCCTTCATGGTGGTCGCGGTTGACTTCTGCAGTTGGTTGTGTGGTTTACTGCTGTTTTGGTGTATGGAGCCATTGGTGTCTTTTGGCCCATGCTATCGCTTAAGTGGTATTTTTTGTCCATGGGCCAAAATCATACGTCAGCTGCAAACCAAACAGTCAGGAGAAGTCAACCATGATTACCCTGAAGAAGGCCCGTGAGAGGCTAACCCAAATGTCGTACTGGTCGACCACGCGACTGACCAACTTATACGATTGCGCTCTATGTAAATAAACCGTTTTTATACATTTTACAGTCTTCAACATTTGAAAAGTGATAAAGTAAAACTATGAAATCATCAACAGGTTCCGTGAGCAATTCTGTTTTAATTTTTAACTTTGCCCACAACGGTTGTGTTTGTGACTGTCGAAATTTTCCGGCCAAAGTGACTTCAATAATTCATTGATGAAAAGTCGCCAATTAAAAGTTAACCCAGTTTGCGTTCAGAATTTTTATGCTACGTGAACAGGATTTCAGAACTGTCGAAAAAAATGGCAATCCGGTTGAGTCAAAAATTACTCTTATGACGAAATAATAACATCTATTTGAATGTGACTGATTGCTCTTTGAATTCAGCTCATCTAACACTTTCTGCGTTTTCTAGAACAACGGTCAGGTGGCCTGCTGTTTATATGTTTCTTGTGACAGTAATTGCCATATAGGAATGAATGCTGGCGTCAGCTCTGGTTACTCATGCTGAACAAAATGGTGCTGCATCATCCGAAAGAGAAGTACATGATCAAATGCTAAGCATTTCGAACGTTTACCGAAGCACTGCTTCAGCATTCATTGCTGCAGCAGTCTTGAAATATCCGCGACACTTGCTGCCAGTAAAGAGATGCTTATGTGCACCGTGCTCGAAATCTTAAATTCTTTTCATCGCTTAGTGCCGGTTATGGGTTCTACAGCCACAAAAGCACAAAATGCCTTTCGCGGTTCGTATGATCGATCGTAAGTGTGCAATTGCGACATTACAAATCTTCCATTACGCGTGCCTGCAGAAGTGTGGGACAGGTGACCAGCTGTTACTGGCGTCTGCCAAAGATTTGTTCTGTCCCCCTCTCTTGTTTGTGTTGTACATGGACAGAATAGTCAGGAGCAGCCAAGGCGATGAGTGTATCGGTGTAGGAGACGTGGAGGCGAGAAAATTGCTGGTCGCAGACAATCTTGCTCTTTTGCAACCTTCTGGAAAGGTTCGCAGCCGAGTGGGACGTGACCAACATTCGTAAGAACGTATCTGAAACTATAATCCTTTCGCGTTATGCTGGCCGTTGTTCTATATATATATATATATAGAATTCCCGTTGATTGAGAAGAAGACTCGGAAATTTGTTGTTGCTGTTAAATATAAATCAATCATACCTATTTGGTTTTTAGACGTGAATTGTAAACTGAAACCTATAAGTTAAAATCAGTACTTCGTCACAGCTGACTGCAGTGATAAACG